CCCCAAACCCTGGACTGTGATTCCATGGGGCAGGATGAACTTCCTGTTCTCTGATTTTTCCTGGGATCTCTTCTTTTTCCCCTTTTATCCTCTAGTACAGTTCTGTCTCATCTGCCCACATTTGGGAGTAAATGAAGACACCACTTTGGGAAAGAGGAATAAATATTGGGATTTCTGACCCCCCAGTGAGGGGAAATCCACATGCTTGGTTTTCCCTGCTGCCACCCAGGTTGGGCAGGGGGAGAGGGCAGCTCCTGGGGCAGCAGCACCTCAACACCCTCCCCACTGTGATCCTTAAAGACAGAACAGGGCTCTGCTTTTTTGGATCAGGGCAAAGTATCCCTGTGGAGATGCTGGAAAGATCCCAAAGCTTCTCCCAAACCCCAGCACTGTCTGTGGAGAGATTGACTCCATGGACCACATCCCCTCGCAGCTCTGAGCCGAGAGCATCTGTTGCCATGGTGACTTGGTGGGGAAAGTCATCTGGGGAAAGGGAGGCTGTATTTTTAGCTTTGGGTAATGAAATGTAACAGCTGGAGAGGAAGGTGAGGGGCAGCCAGGGGCCACAGGGCCCTGGAGTGGGGTTTGGGAGCAGGGCTGGGTTGGGGGAGGGTGCTCAGGATGGGCAGCACCTGCAGGAGCCTGGGAATAACCCCTGGGAAGAGAAGGGCATGAGGAGGAGCTGTTCTATGGCGAGATTGGAGGAGGCTCTGCCTGAGGTCACACTGCTCCCTGTACAGTGTGTTCAGCCTATAAATAGCTCATATCTACCTCGCACAAGTGGTATTTATAGAGTGGGGAGGGGAAAGGCTCCTTTGGTGATGGGAGTGGATTTGGGGAGGATGTGCCAAGCTTGGTCTAAAGTTCAGGTCTTTGAGAGAAACAGAAAACCCCAAATGGGACAAGTGGTATTTATAGAGTGGGGAGGGGAAAGGCTCCTTTGGTGATGGGAGTGGATTTGGGGAGGATGTGCCAAGCTTGGTCTAAAGTTCAGGTCTTTGAGAGAAACAGAAAACCCCAAATAGGG